CGCAGCTGAATAAAATAAAAAGCAGAAACACAAAGCCCGGAAAATTCTCACCATCCCTTTATATTCTAGCTGCTACAAAAGCTCGCAGTCTTAAAACAGCGTAGGGCAGGAGACCAGACATCAGCGCGGTAAAAAATTCGCATAAATATCCTCTAAACCGAATTATGTTGAAAAAGGGAACTCGAATCGAGAAGAATTGAGAAATTGCACAAATCACGAAAAGAAACAGCAGTGAAGTATCAAAAACAATCAAATGAACGAACTGTAGAGGGATTACTTCACTGTCAGATTCGAAATCATATGCTTAGGCCTAGGATTCGGGGACGTTGATCGTCACGTATTGTTGAGAATTCAAAAAGGAGTTAGTGCTTTGCAAAATATATAGCAACAAAACGAACAACTGCAACTCACCAAAGCCCGAAGACGCCGATTTTCACGGTTTTTCTCAATTTGGCCAGTTCTATCCAAATAAGTGTCTTCATCGGAATCGTAGAAATCATTGTCAGCAAGGTTCTTCGCTTTTTTTCTGGCTTCATTTGCTGAGCGGAATAATACGCCATGCATATCTGTAAGAGAAAACCATAAATGAAGCGCGAGACAAAATCTGTCTACTCCCCGCCTCCTCGCCTGTCCCTCCCCCCCCCCCTTCATTTTGCTTCGCTTGATGCTATCCTAGTGAACGAATGAACGGTAACAAAGAAAAACAGTTCGAACTGATATAAAGATACCTAAAGTACGACATGCATTGAGGGCGCACAGTGTTTGAGCATCTTTCTTGCTTCCCGATGTTGTTGCTGAAGCTGACAGCGATTGACCGGCCGCTGTATCTACCGGCAATCTGTAAGAAACATTTCAAGATTCCGCCAGCAAAATTAGAACCACTACTGTACAAATCCCGAATCGCAGAAGTCAAAATCAGAGGTGCTCCTCTGTTGTCGGTGGGTGGGAGGGGGCAGGTATGAAGCCCTCATGGGGCAAGGATGGATCCACGGTAGGATAAGAATGAAGCTCCCGTGGGGCAAGGGACGAAGCCCCCACCCCTCCTTGGACAAAAAAACTCGAAAAAGACCCACTTAGCAAAAGCGTGACAATCAGCGCCAAAAGCACCTGTAGATTGACTACTGAATGAGAAAATTCTCGTCACAATTGCCCGGAGAAGGTTGTCAGATATAGTGATGGGGCCAGGGCCAAAGCTGAAGAATCAAGGTAAGTAACTGACTCAATTGAGCACATCCATTTATGAGTATGGCCGGCGCCTGATTCTTCGTATACAAATTCCATGTCGAAACCTTCACTATCGAAGAAACGCTTTAGCACCTTCAATGGATCATCACGATATTTCTCTTCTCGATCTTGAAAATCATCGCTATCCTGTTGTGCATGAGCATATGCCATCTGCTCATCATCCTCTGAAAAATACTGTTT